TTGGTCTACAATATATTGAATTCTAGACCAACAATTGAAATAGGTGGAACAACCAAACGTAAACAATGGCTTTTAATGCAAATTCCTCGAGAATCAAAGCACATCCAAGCAATCTAACACCGTCATCTGATAGAGCAAACTTCCTTTATCGAATGGCATTGATAGGGGAAATGGCTCTAATGTTGGCCTATGGATCCAAGATTGGGCCCATTGCTAAAAATCTGCTGACCCAGTTCGATCAAAACTGAACCAACCCAAAAATGGGTAAACATGCATTTACCCAAATCTGGGTAAACGTACTTGCGACAGAAACTGGGTAACGGTTACTCCGATGTTGGCATTTGATAACTTGTTAAACTTTACCCATTTAATAAAAAATTGTTGAAATGACCGCTTCAGCAGCTTTATTAAACATAAACTCACCCGACAGCTCATCTCTCAGCTGTCGAACCTGTTAATGATTGTCGAAACAATGTACAACTATGGAACACGGCATTACAATTCCCCAATAAGGATATCATTTCAAAATTCTAATCATTTACTGAGATTTGATTTTAAATAAGTTTAATAAATTGGGAACAATAACATACATTTGTCATCGAGAAAAGCGGCACAGAATATCTGGATAACCTAGAATTATAAGAAAGTTTAAAGTTCAAAAACTAACAATATACTTACTAATTATATAGCTGCTGGTAGCATTCGAAATCCAAACAGCTCCGTAGCTGTAACATTTTTAGCGTCAGAATTGTATATTTTAAGTAGTAAACATTTCACTGGCAGCGCAACAATCTCCCTTTCAAACCTGCGCCATGTGTTTAAGTTTGGGAAAATTTCAATTAGAACCATTTAGAATCTGGGTAGATTCTACTCATCAGCATAAAACTAGTTTACCCAGATTTTGACAACTCCTTAGTGGCTACAAGACTGGGTACCATCAACATAGCGTGTGTTGCAGAAGAAACAATTGAATTTGTAAATAATGGCTTTAGCCGTCGATTTCTCGCGAATAAAAGCTCACTCATGAAAAATAATGACACCAACAGGTAGAGGAATTTTTCCTCTACCAGCTAGCATTGTTATTTTGGAGATTTTATTCGCGAGAAATTAACGGCTAAAGCCATTGTTTACAAACGCAATTACGCCCCTATGAAATGTTGGCACTGACATTACGGTTGCTATTTCGTCAAGTGAATCCGAGTATGTAGCTCTGAGCAGTGCTGCAAAATCTCGACAATACACGGCGATATTCAAAATTCTGCCTTGGTCACTCAATTGAGCCAACAGTCAACCATGTCAATTGTCAGTGGTAATTCAGTAACGAACATGTGCAGATTTGATTATTAGCGAAGAATCATATCAAGAAGACTGGCAACTGTGCCAGAATCTAAGCGAAAGATACAATAGCGCTGCGCTTGAGTAAAGGTGGAAGCAACGCTTAGAAAAATGAGCAAATACACACAAACAACGAAAATTGTATTAATAAAAATAATGCATTTTCAAATTAAAAGTTTCCCAAAATTAGTAGTTTTAACAGCAAAAATATTAAAAATAAAAGTAACCTTTTTAAATTGAAAGTTTTTCTTTTACTTTTGACTCGTGGTTTTAAAAGTACAAATTTTTAAAACAAAAGTTGTACAATTGTCAAAAATATCCCTTCAGCGATGTTTTACTGGCTGCACTGACGTCTCATATGCCGCCTTTTCTGCTAATCTGGCCGCTTTGAACATGACATCCAAATCAGAAGTTACAAAGAGAGTCATGATTATTTTGTGGGATACCAGAAACTGAACTTTTCTTCGTTGGATATTCCGAAATTGGCATTCCAAATCGAGTTCCAAATGGTAAGTACATTATTTACATTGTTATTTTATTGTATTTTTAGATTCTTTTTTATATCAACCAGGACGATGTCAACCATAATAACGAGAATCCGTCACCAGTTGGTACATTCTGATGTTGCGGCATAGGATTTTATACGTCTGTAGCGCTCAGTGCTGGATTTATCGGATTACGAAATGTAAAACAATACCAAGCTTGCCTTGCCAGATTATGTGTTCCTCGTATCGACCTTCACTTGCCGGAATATCAATCTGTGTCGCTCCGTGAATCTCGTTGCAAAACGCTTAATTAGTTTTAAAGAAAATACGTAATAAACAAATATATTTTTTGAAGTTTTTACTAATTTTCAAAACCTAAAATTAAATATTATTTAGAATTTAAAATGAATACAAGATGTTATTATGGTGAAAATGCGTACTTTTAATTTTTAAAATTTTGTTTTTCCTATCCAAAATGTTACTTATTGTTTAAACTATATCATATTTTCAAATGAAAACTTTGTTTTGAATTGAAAAAAACCCAATTTTAATGCCATCACTGCCGTGCTTTTAATTTGACAGTAATACAATTTATTTTGAAAGTTTTAGCTTTTAAATGTAGTGAGCGGCCAACTTTTGATTTAACAGTTGGCTGACTTTTGTTTTGAAAGCTATCCGCTTTCTACCAAAAAGAACCAATGCAAACTTTTAATTCTACCAACGGATTTTTTAATTCTAGCAACGATTTTTCTTTCTGTGTACAGAAACCTTTCTTCTGAGGATGTAATCTTTGCTATCAAATTCGTTCGAAGTATTTACCTTTGAGTGGCAGATGACGCAATTGTACCTGTCTCATAGCGTTCGTATGAGAAAATGGAAGAGTTGCCAGTTTTCTTGATTTGATGTCTTCGTTATTAGCTAAATTTGAAACGAAATGGGTTGAGCAAAACAGTTAACTGCTTGGATAACAATAATGTGACTCAGAATGCACGAAATTACACTTTTTGTTACCAGCTGAATCTTTGTCATTGACGAAAAATGAATGAGATTTTGACAAAGGTTTTTTTGAGGATCAAGTCTATCATTGACTATGTGAAAAACAATTTTGTCAATATCGCGCAAAAGTCGCTGACAATGACAAATCTCAGCACTGGCTCTGAGTGCGGCTACCACCAACAAACCGTCATGAATGATAATACAAATTACAAAGAAATTTCTGATCAAAGCATAAAACTGACATCGCGGAAAATATTTATCCTAGCCACGAACACACGTAAAAAATGTATGAGTTGATTCGTGTCTAATCTATTTCGGACAAATTATTTTTATCTAGATAAAACAAGCCGTAGATTTGACAGATGGGATCGCTGCACATTTGAATCGGCCGTTATGGATTCTCGATCAAGAGTTAAGTTTAAGTTTTATGTCGGTTTGTCGGTGCCGCTACTGCAGAATCCCTGTGGTTAGCTAGAGTGCCTGAAGACATGAAGGCCAACCAAGGATCCTGAAACACCTGTAAACATATTCGAGGACAACAGAGGCTGTATTGGAATGGCAAAAAACTTGGAGACGAAACGTAGCAAACACAATGATGTTAAATACCATTATTCATCGGGGATCACAATGCCGAAGGATGAATTCAAGTGGAAGCTGCCTGCCTGACAATGCAAGAACAATTAGCTGACATCTTCACCAAGCCGTTGGACTCGAGGTTGGACTCTGGTCGATTTCAAGAACTACGGAGAAGTCTAGGTGTTACAAAACATTTCCGTAGTTCGGTTTTCCGCAACTCTACTGTAATTATATTTAGCTTTAGTTTTACATTCTGGTATAACAATTATGAAATTAGACTTACAAATTAGTTTTCTAACAGTAACAATTCGGTTAGAGAGAATTTCAAGCCAATTATTTAGTTTTGAGGTTAGGTTATCTAATGATGAGATAGGTCAAATTATTTATGTAGTATTTTAAAAGCTGCAGTTGAATACTCACGTTCGCGTACGATTTTCACTAAGTTTAAACTAATTCTATTGGTGCTTCCAACAGAATATTTTATCTGTAATTAACCACTTTGTCAAGCAGTTTTGGCGTGACTTTCTACCAGCGATTTCACAAAACTGGACCAACAAATTTCTATTTTTTTATGAAACGCACAAATTTTGGCTACTTTTCTTGAGGTTCTAGAAGAAAAAATCTCAAAATAATGTTTTATTTCAAAGTTCGAGTGGTAGTAAACGTCATTTTAAGTGCTCGAATAAAGTGGTTAATTACACGCGTTCTTCTGTTTACATCGGTTCGCTATCGAAAATATTCGACGTTCGTTCGAGCTGAGTCGATGCTGAAGCAATCAAAAGGGCCTATCGTCCAAATTTCGCAACACTAGGGCTACACGATTGAAGGAACCTGGACGCCAGAAGCTCGACCAGAAGCAATCGTCAAATTTCATCTCAGTAGTCCTGCTTCTCGTCCTGCTTATTTGACTTTTCAGTTGCTCAAACTGCTCTTCAAATAAATCACACATTAATTAACCCCTTCATTCAAGCAGTTAAAATGCCGTTTACTACCACTCGAACTTTGAAATGAAACATTATTTTGAGATTTTTTCTTCTAGAGCCACGAGAAAAGTAGCCAACATTTGTGTGTTTCATAAAAAAATAGAAATTAGTTGGTAAAGTTTTGTGAAAAATCGCTGGTAGAAAGTCACGCCAAAACTGCTTGACAAAGTGGTCAATTAATACTTTTTAATGCTCTATTCTTCGCTGCACACAGCGTAAATATTTACAATTTTTCGATAAAACTCAGGTAATCATGACAGATCCTGACGCAGTTGGTCTCATTTTTTCATTCGAGCTGTTTTCAAAGATCAATATGTCACGATTACCTGGGATTTGTCAGTCATGTAAATATTTACACGTTGTGCATTGAATAATATTTACTCTTAACACACAGGCACACCTACTTGAGTCACATCGACTACCTTGGCTCCTAGAACTGCACTCACACAGCCACGCTAGAACACCTTTCCCGTCGCTCGATGACATTTTTTTTTATTTACCGTTGCAAAGTGGTGTTTGTTTCAGTCTTTCAGCACAGGTTCTTCTCCGTTCTCCCCCGTTGGAGGGAAGGCGACGGATGGATCGAAAACTCGAAAGTGCATAGTGTGTTCAGTCGCAGTCGTGATCTCAGCTCGAGTGTGTTGTTGTTTCGGTATTTCGTGCGATTGTATCGAAATTTTCTGTGTTCATTTGCAAAAAATAACTCACCTGAACTTTGTGTTATGTCGAAGATCATAGTGAGCTGTGAAAATTTAATGCGGTGATACGTTAACGAACAGAACAAGAGTAGGTACTCGCATCAATGCACTGATAAGTGGGTTTAAATCCGGTGGGTGATACATTATTCATTGTACAGAGGCTTCTCTTTCTGGGCTGCCTTTTTTTTTTTATTCGACATCGAACCACGCAAGCGTAAGCTAATCAGCCTCCCGTACCCGTATACCTTTTTGTTTCCCGTCACATACACAATTGCAATTATTTTTTACCTGGCGGCCTCTTCTGGTACTGTGCTTGGGATGGTGGATAAGTGAGCTGCAAAGACCGTCTGACTCTGCTGCTGGTGTGTACACAAAGTAGGCGCTGGGTGTACTTGTTGCTCGCGCAGATTTGGAGAAAAAAGGGTTGGTTACCCTGCAACGCAGAGCACAGCAAGCCGCGGTGGGCCTATATATCGTCATCATTACCATGGTTGCATAAACAGGTTTTAACCGTTCCCGTGCCTGCCTAGGTATTCTAGTTGTGCGCCAGTGTGAGTGCATGTGGGTCTTTCTTGAAAGTGACGGGAGAAGTTCAATTCAAAGCCTACTTTCTTGCCCGATCCCGACCGATGGACCGACCGACCTTACGGTTGCTAGTGTAGTTAGTATTTATCTAAATGGATCACTGAAGCCACGGCATGGCATACTTGACCGGAATGTGGTTTGAGGAATTTGCTCTAAGTCCCCGCATCCCTGGATGAGGTGCTTTTGTAGTTGAACGATAATCAAGCAGCGAGAAAAAAAAAGAAGGTGCGAGTGTGCTCCGGGAAGTGAAAGGTCAAGTCGTGTTGGAGAAATCCAGAAAACGGGTTAAGGAGATCAACTACCAAAAGTGTCCAAAAGAAGCAAACGGAGCAGAAAGACGAATTTGTTTATCTTGTTTATAGTGTGTGTTGTTCTGTGTTGGATTCCTGACCTGATGTGATTCGGAGAAGAGTGGAAGGTGCGGACGAATCGAAGTAAACGTAACAGGTGCGATATCTGACTGAACTACTACTGAGAGCAGTGCACGATTGAGAAGACAAGGAAGCGACGAAGAATAGCAAAAAAAAGAAGCATACCTACACTTTTAATCCGGAAAATGAATTCTAAAGTGCTGGATGATGGAGCACTATTCGTCGTAGTTGGTGAAGTAAAGTAGCGGTTAATTGTCGGAAAATAGTTCGCCGTGCGAGGAGATTAGCTTTGTACGTCGTTCAGCTGGAATGGAATGTTAATGGTAAGGGCCAATTTACTTTCTACGGTTAAGGTATTGACTGGGTGGTTCGGTTGCAGTAGTGGGGGATTTGTGGGGTCATTTCGGTCACGAGGGGAATGACTCGTTCAGATAGTCTTAAATTTGAACATTCAGTAAGTAATTTCACGTCTTAAAACTTACTTATATGTTGTTCATCAGAGATGCGCAAAATATATCAAAACGGCCAGCATTTAAGGGGCAAGATGATTCAGAAAAATTTAAACACGATGCTTCAAAATCCAATTAATCAAACACATTCCTTGATTCGTGTGCCATTCTGGATGCTAAATGAGAACCTCCTTTATCAAACTATGTGAGACAAATAGCGCAAAATCTGTTTATAAAGCTGTGGCTATCAACAGAGAAAGTCGATGAAGAGAATCGATCAAAATCACTTACACACCTTTTCTTCTAACTCCCTCATGTTAGCTTGCGCCTGAAACAACACACTCAATGGGAAATTCATTTGCAGTCGGGTTATTCGCTGTTCCATCCAAGTAATCCCGATGTTCCATTCAAGTAATCGCAGCAACCTACAGCTGCGACCGAGATGGAAAAATTAGTGATTCGTATGTATAGTTAGAAGCACTCAAACTTTCTTTATTCTTTGAGAAGAACACTTCAGTTGGCGACGAGGATTTTTCTGGAAGCTCACAAGTTCAAGAAATTCCAGAATCGAACCGAGGAAGGATGGCGGCGACAAACGAAGAATTCCAAGCAGCGATTTTGCAGCTTCTCCAGCGGTTGGCCGTTCCACAAGCAACGAACCCAGAGCAAGTTTTGGAATCCCTGTCGACGAACATCAGCGAGTTCCGCTTCGATCCGGAGAACGGCACCACATTCGAAAAATGGTTTGCCCGTTACTCGGATTTGTTTGAAAGCGACGCACAAAGTCTGGACGACGCAGCAAAAACGTCTGCAATGCTTCACGCTTCCGATGCATACCTGCAAGTGGAAGTAGATGAAGAATCGAAGAAGCTCCTCACCATAAACACGCATCGAGGCCTCTTCCAATTCAACCGGCTCGCTCCAGGGGTGAAGTCAGCGCCTGGAACATTCCAAAGACTGGTTGACAGCATGATAGCCGACATTCCTGGTGTTCGGTCGTTTCTCGACGACGCTATCATCTTCGGAAGAACCTGGGAGGAACACAAGGCGTCACTAGACAAGCTACTACAACGTCTAAGGGAAAATGGGTGTTCCATGTCAAGCTGGAAAAGTGCCATTTCTTCCAGACCGAAATCAGATATTTGGGGCATATCGTCGATCGAAACGGCATCCGTCCGGATCCAGAGAAGCTTCAAGCCATCGCCTCTATTCCGGCACCCACCAATGTTTCCGAAATGCGATCGTTCCTGGGAGCCGTTAATTTCTACGGTAGATTCGTGCGCAACATCCATGAACTTCGTCATCCTCTCGACCAATTACTCAAGAAGGATTCGAAGTGGCAGTGGAATTCCGATTGCCAACGATCTTTTGAGCAATTCAAGCAAGTCCTGCAGTCCGATATGTTGCTGACGTATTACGACCCGAAGTTACCAATCATCGTAGCAGCGGACGCCTCCAGCACGGGCATCGGTGCAGTCATCTTCCATGAATTTTCGAATGGACATCTGAAGGCAATCCAGCGCGAGATCCCTCACTCCAGCGGAGAAAGGTTACGGGCAGCCGGAAAAAGAAGCACTTGCACTAATATATGCGGTAACGAAGTTTCACAAGTACCTCCTTGGGCGCAGATTCACTCTGCTCACGGATCACAAACCGCTGTTATCAATCTTTGGATCGAAGAAGGGCATTCCTTTGCACACCACAAATCGACTTCCACGATGGGCATTGATGCTTCTCAACTACGACTTCGACATTCGGAACGTGTCTACCAACGACTTTGGATGCGCCGATATGCTGTCAAGACTCATCGACCGTTCTAAGCAGCAAGAAGAGGAGTACGTTGTAGCAGCGATATCCCTAGAAAAAGACATTGTGAGCATTATTCAAAACACTATCGAGCAGGTACCAGTTTCGTTCGCAGACATCAAAAGTGCAACACAGGCAGATGAACCACTACAAGCGGTGCTGCAGTTCATTCGTGAGGGTTGGCCAAACGATGCACGATCAGTCGAAGATCCAGAGATTCGAGTCTACTTCAACAGGCGGGAGTCGCTCACCAACGTCGATGGCTGTATACTGTTCCACGACAGGGTAGTCGTTCCGAGCAAGTTCAGAAGGCAAATCCTGAAGCAGTTTCATCGCGGACATCCCGGCATGGTACGAATGAAGTCTATTGCACGCAGTTTCGTTTACTGGCCCGGAGTCGACAACGACATCGAGAATTTCGTCCGGCAATGCACTCCCTGCTGCACTGCTGGAAAAGCACCAGTCAAAACAACGCTTGAATCGTGGCCCATCCCTGATAAGCCGTGGACGGCGTATTTTTCCTGGTAGTTGTCGACCCGTACACCAAATGGCCCGAAGTATACGCAACTAAAATCACAACGACAAGAACAACAATCAAGCTACTTACTCAAACGTTCGCCACATTTGGCGTGCCAGAAACCATCGTCTCAGATAATGGTACCCAGTTCACCAGCTACGAGTTCAAGAATTTCTGTGTGAATTAAAGCATTCACCACGTTCGCACAGTACCATTCCATCCTTAATCAAATGGGTTAGCAGAACGGTTCGTGGACACCTTGAAGCGCACTCTTCGGAAGATTCAATCGGGAGGAGACACACTGGAGGAAGCATTGCAGACGTTTTTGCAAGTTTACAGGTCAACACCAACAACGGCTGACCTAGGTGAAAAGTCTCCTGCAGAAATAATGTTCGGACGACCGGTCCGCACAGTTTCTTCAATGCTACTACCGCAACACAACGGTACATCAGCAGCACAACCGAAAGCAGATGAGCAAAACAAGCGTTTCAACAAGAAGCATGGAGCGATTTCGAGGCAGTTCGTTCCGAGTGATGCTGTATATGCTCAAGTCCATCAAGCAAATTCCTGGAAATGGCAGGCTGCCACAGTAATCGAGCGTGTCGGAAAAGTCAACTACAACGTTTTCCTGGAGGATAATCAGCGGCTCATCCGTTCTCATGCCAATCAACTGAAGCAACGTGCGGTCGAATCTGGTCCAGATCCTAGTCCAAGCCAAGGTCCTAGTCTGTTATCGGTATTCTTCGACGGTTTTGGCCTAGACGTACCATCTGTTCCAGCAACGATACCGGCTGCAGTGCCCGACGAACTTGGTCCAGTTGATGAAGAGCTTGGAAGTGATGAGGCGGAGTATTTTTCGGATGCTAGTGAGGTAGACAATCCACCACAGCAAGATCCAGTACCAGTTCCGCCAGCAACAAGGGAACATACCAGCTAGATTCGAGGAGTACTGGATGAATTAAGAGGGGAGATGTTCCATCCAAGTAATCACGATGTTCCATTCAAGTAATCGCAGCAACCTACAGCTGCGACCGAGATGGAAAAATTAGTGATTCGAAGTGTAGATGTCAACCTGAATAAACGTATAGTTATAAGCACTCAAACTTTCTTTATTCTTTGAGAAGAACACTTCATCCGTCAAAGAGAATTTCGATGAAGAGAATCGATCAACAATGATAGGCCCTTTTCTTGTGTTGCGCAAGAACTCTCGCGTCACTTTTAAAATAGACCAATCTACATTGATCGACTCGCTGAACACGTTTTTCGAGCCGAGTTATTAATGAAAGAGAGAATCGATGGAGAGAACCGATCAATGTAGATTGGTCTATATGAAAAGTAACGCGATCAATTAACAACTGTGGAAATGCTCAAAGAGCAATAAGTTGAAAGCCGGCGCAAAGTCCCAGTGGGGACGTAATAGCCTTAAAAAGAAGAAGAAGATCGTCTTCTTCTATAAGAAAAACTACAAGGGACAACCCTATGGGGTTGTACGCAATTGTGACGTAGGACTACGTGGTCTTATATAATAAATATTATTTGTTAACTGCAGCAGGAGCTTGGGTTTTGTGTAGGAATAGGAACTTGAGCAGGGTTCTCTCTGTTTATACTCTTTAGTATGACGCGTTTGACATAGATGGCCCACAGCGACTCACGAAAAGCTACTGATTCCGATCAATAGCGGAGCGGCTTCTTCTTTCTTCTATGGATGCTCATGTGGGCTGCAGCTCGCTGCTTGCAGGCGGCCTTTCGTTGTGATCTGGAGAACACCACCACTCATCACACGCGGTTATTGAATAAACACCGTTCGGTGAGACCGGATGGAATTAAACTTAGAAATCTGTGTTAGCGAAATCGCTTTTCGCAGGCAATCCGTGATAATTTTAATTATCATTTGCAACAGTTGCACATTCGTGCAAATTGATAAAGTCTTAAATTTACCAGATGCGTTGAAATATTTCTAATCGATTGTTGATAAAATGATTGAAATTGGTACAGGGGCAGCTGAGTTACTAACGTTCAAAATCTTTCATAATTTTGTTACATGTTCCATTTTCGGTTTTCACAAAGTGTACCCCCATATAGAAAATCACAGACGTAGTCCTACGTCAAAAAAACGTACCTCTTCTGTGATTCCACCGTCTACTAAACACACACAACTTCCACATGCTGCAACATCACAAGTTCTATTTCCACCCGGTTGATCTTGAAACACCTTGCCGTTGTTGTTGTTGTTGTTTGTTGTTGTCGTTCTGCTCAGCTGACCCATCTCCATATTTGTGCTGCGATGACTGCTACTATAGCGACAACAGCAAATGGAAGGAATGGAATCTAGAGACCAGCAAAAACTCACCCTCATCTCGTCGGTCGGTGGTGTGGAATTCCATCGAAATACAAGACCTACTTGCATTGACTTGAAACCGAACCACAACAACAACAACAACAACACACCTCGCTGTTGATCACGAGTAGGACGTCAGCACTGTCAGCGCACCTTCTTTGGCAAACGGAGAGCATATTTTTGCATGATTTTCTGCCACAAATGTGCCGTCTG